TCGTGATATAATTGTATCATCCTCTCTCTTTTATCTCAAACACGTGGGATTCTGGATATTGCACGACATTGAGTAATTTTATGTTTGTCCTTTAACTGACAAAACGTGGAATGGGTAAAATCACTCATTTTCTATGTGAACTTCACAGAGGACCCCGCAGTAATTATTCGACTGATTGCAACAAAGATGATGCTTCATGTTTTTATTTGACTCGTGTTATAAGACAATTATAAACCTAACCTAAGCCAGCAAAGTTATGGACCCACAATATACTTTGTGCAGTTTTAAAAAAAAATGCGTTTAAAAGCTAATTGGATTGATAATTCTAGAATTAACTGTTTAATTTCATTAATATAAGTATTATATCAATATAATTAACTAAGACACACAAGCACCTAGTCCCTGGGGAGTTAGTTTATTATCAACAGACTTAATTGGACCTAACTACAAATAACAAAATCATCTATGCATTAGGCTCCATATGTCTTAATCAATTTTACAAGTAATAAACAATTCCAATTTTTAAAGTAAACTTACTAACCTTATTTTTCAATTTCCTGTAAATCAAGTAAACAAATTTCAATTAGCAGTTGCTTTGTTTAAATTATCATTTTGAAATAAAACGATTACACAAGTTAAAACAACACAAACACAGAAACGAAACAAACCATCCAAGTCTTTGCTGAATTTTATTCCAAGTGTTTTGTAACTAGTTTAGTAGTATTTCACTGTTCAAGAGTACAGGTGGAAGAGGAATGTTAAAAACCATAGAAATACGACAATGATGTAACATATGTGTATACAACTTGTATATAATACAACACGAACACACAGAAACGAAACAAAACGTCCAAGTCTTTGCTGAACTTTATTCCAAGTGTTTTGTAACTAGTTTAGTAGTATTTCACTACTCGAGAGTACAGGTGGAAGAGGAATGTTAAAAACTATAGAAATACGACAATGATGTAATATATGTGTATACAACTTGTATATAATACAACACGAACACACAGAAACGAAACAAAACGTCCAAGTCTTTGCTGAACTTTATTCCAAGTGTTTTGTAACTAGTTTAGTAGTATTTCACTGTTCAAGAGTATATGTGGAAGAGGAATGTTAAAAACTATTGAAATACGACAATTATGTAACATACTGTTACGACAGCGGAAGTCACGTGACTCTGGTAACACGTAATGAGTTTTAGAAAGATCGGGGAACATCACGAAAAATCCAGTTTTTGCTAGGCGCCTTCTATTC